AAAATGAGAGAATTGAATCATGGATAATCAAACCTAATCTTGTTTTCAAGATATTATCGAATTAACACGTATTTTCCAAAGTTAATCATTTCCGGATGTAATATCACTATCTCACTTTGAAACAATTTATATACAAAGTTTAACTTTACTATAATTGGGTAATTTTGGTTTATATTAACAACTTGATAGTTTGTGAACATGAGCAATTCAAATAATCATGTAAAATTATGTTTTTTGTATTCATATCTCGAGAAAACTATTTATCTTCGATAATATGTATGATTAAACATTGATTAAAAGATAATAATAGATTAAAATCGATGAACAGAGAGTATATATTAGGTTGAAAGTGTTCATGCACAATTATCAATATAAAAAAAAAGAAGTCGGGAAAAAATCTAATTATGATTGTTTTTTTTCCGTCATTAGAACTTTGATTAAAACGCAGAGCTGGACAAAATACTCGTACTTGCGAGTTTGGTACTCGGACTCGAAAAAGTTCGTACTTGCCTAGCTCTGTTAAAATTGCACTATAGACATCAGATTTTTAATGCTTACAAATAGATTATAATACATTTCTAAATATTTGATCGACTATAATCGATTTTTTATGATTAAAAAAACGATTATAATCAAAAATATTTTGACTTTTTCTTCAGTAAAGCTCAACTAATAACTTTTGAAGATTAAGGGAGTCTAAACAAAGCCAGAAGCTGCATTGAATTGACATGAAAAGCACATGAATAATGGCAGCTTTATTGAAAATCATGCTTTCTATGTGCATAATTTATATCAATAAGAATACTCACCATGTGATATTTATCCCGCACAAAAATAAATAATTATAGCTATCAAAACATCAATCCAAAGAAGGAATGTGCGCATACGTATGTGCATGAATAAATATGGCAACCAAAAAAAACGTTGCTCAGAATAAGTTAAATTGCATATGTCACTCATCCTTTTCTTACCGTCCGATAATTATGACGGTAATATTGAAGTGAAGAAAGAAAAAGAATAGGACACTCTTTCGTGTATTGCTTCAATAATGAGAAAACAAGAAGAGCAAATATACTTGTTGTTTTCTTTCGTAGACAATATCCATGTTAGGTTTTTGTTATTGTAATAAAAAAGAGACAACAGAATTTCATCATAAATCCATTCTGTTCTACAACCTTTGGAAGTAAAGAAGAGATAGCAAAAATATGAATGATTGTGATATTGACGTAATATGCTTTCCTTATTTATGATCTCAAGCTACCGATAAATATTTTGTTAGTTCAACTAACATAAAAAGATTAAAAAAAAAACAATTTTTAGTATTTTCAATATTTTGCTGAACACATATTTCATTTCTACGTCTAAAGAATGATGCTGACTTTATTAAATATGTCATAAATCGAGTTATTGATAAGAATTTGAGGTTTAAGGAAAGAAAATGTCTTGCATCAGTTTCTAATGTACTATTTCTTTAATGAGAAAAAATAAAAAATAAAAATAAAACAAAAGATCTGCAAATAATAGCACACATAAGAATGACAGAAAACCTACATTATGAACTGCATTACAGCTGTCTTGTTTATTTCATTCAAACATTTCACACCAATCAAATTGATATTGTAGGAAGTGATCAATAAATTTTGAACTCACTATACATGTTTGCTTTTCGAATAGAAGCATATTTCGAGTTCTCTGAAACAAGAAAAATAGTATCTGCAAGTATAAAAGTCAGAAAAAATTGAAATCAAAGTCAAAAATTCTGCCCTTGTATAAGACACAGAAGCGAAGTAGATTTAGTTAATCGTGAAGAAAAAAAAAATCTTGTATAGAATTAGTCGTGCATAACTCGATAAAAGGAAAAAAAACTGCAGTTGTTTACATTTTATCCTGACTAAAGATATACTACACGTGAGTTACCTTTGTTTTGCCAATTTTTAATGTTATTGTAATATGCAAAATAGGCTTGTCTATTCTTTCCAGTTTTGTTGTGAATAAACAGTAAAAAATAAAAAGCATTCATCCGTAGTGAAAGAAAGAAAGGAAAGAAATAAAAAAATGCTATGACTACTGAATAAGTAGTAATTTTTTTCTTCGATAGATACGTATGCACATTTATGATAATCGTTATGATACACAGAAAATAAACTCACTAAACAAGAAATATTGATTTTAGTTCTATACAGCTGCTTATATTCGCGCAATCACAACTGAACAACATGCAGAATGCATCCCCAACAGAGATAGACAAGTCTAAATCGAGACTTATAAAACTTTTTTGAGCTTGGATTTAACTTGTCCTTGATGAGTTGCTTATAAGTAAGTCCTTGAATAAGTTCTTTGATTATAATAAACGTATAAGAACTTATTGTAGAGGCTTAAAAGAATCATATTTTTATCAGTTCTCGACTAGGATATGAAAATTCTTATTCTGTTCTGAATTGGAAAAAGTTCTAGAACTGATTGATACTCTTCAACAAATCAAGTAATAATAAGATGTTCATGAGTTGGTTTCTAGTACTTAATCAATAAGAAGCTTGAACGTCGAAGTTGTACATTGTCAAACATGACAAAAAGAGAAGAGAGTACAAAAGAAGAATTATAAAAGTCTTTAGGAACATGTGAAATGCAAAAAAAAGATGATGAAATGCCTTTGTATGATAATAATGAGTAAGATATAATGTATGGTCACTTTTGCGTTCTGTCTTTGAAGCACTTGATAATCATATTTGAATCTGGTTCTGAGCTGGTTTGATAGAGAATTTCTCTACAAAACTATTTACTTTGTTTTTCAAATAACATTTTGTTGCTGATACAAACTTAAAACACAAACACCTACTCAATCGTCCGTCTACGACAGTCGAAAAACGAAAAATAATTGTGGAAATTTCAAAAACAAAGCAATTTGACTATAAATTTCAAACATATGATAAGATCCTGCATATCTTCATGTACTTGTTATCATTTTATCATAAATAGTTATGTAGAAAATCGATGAGGCTGAAGATATTAAAAAAAAAACACCAAAAAAATCTCTCTTAAGACATATCCATGCCATTGTTATTATTGAATTCGACATACATTAATGTTTTATATTGCGTCAAATTAACATTCACACAATTTAGTTTAGAAATAAATAATGCATCAAGTGATATAGATGCTTTTCTATTGATGTTAAATATTTTACTTTGAACATCACTCATTATCAAAACAAACAGATGTATATAAATTGATAGACATACACAACAAATAGGAAATGGCAGATCTAGGATTGAGCACATGTTGATCTTTCAAATTTTGTTGTAATAAATAGCTTTCATTTGAAAAATACCATAGATAGTTTTGTAGAGAAAGAAATTTTCTATCAAATGAGCTCAGAACCAAATTCAAAAATGATTTTTAATGCAGTATATTATACATAGAATTATTCTATCGTTCTTCTATGACTTTGACATACTTTTGCTTAATCAAGATATCGTTATTTATTGAGTGTGAATAAAATTTTCATTTAAAATATGTACTCAAGCCTTTGTGTTGAGAAAATAAAAGTTTTATGCCTAAATAAATTGTTCATAGTTTTTTTCGCTGATACTAAAACTCATGGAGTTCAGCATTTATTAAAACAACTTGGACTGAATCAAAGTGCATATTGATTTGTTTGCGGATAGATGCATCTTATCATTGTCTTCTGAAAAATTTCGATTTGATATGTGTCAGCAGCCATCCCAATGAAATCAAATGTAAACCTAGAAAATCGATCGCCATTCTCTCCATCACACATAATTAGATTATCGAAATCGTATAAGATTATTTCCATGTTGTCGAGTGAAAAGAATCCGTGAACAATATCGGAATTGTTCGCACAATACACTAGTGAATAATAGTCCGCTAGGAAATGAATGATTCCACAGATCGTATACCTCTACTTGAATGATCTGATTTAAGCGCTTTCCAACGGGAGTTAAGATTCGAAGTACAATGAACTTTTCTGTTCAGTACATCTATTCTTCTGTTTTCTTTGTGTATATTCATTCTTCATAAGTTCAAGGCTAGTGTTTAAAATGTGATCATCATTATCGTCACAAAATGTCATTCAGATGAACCATAGTCTACTTTTGAGACGAAATATACTTTTATGTCGAAAGATAGATCCTAACATGCGAATAGTGTTAGTTCTATTGCTTGAATCACTGCAGAAATTTCTATTTACATTTTTTTTTTGCATGATTATACTATGATCAGTATCGATTAGAATTAGTATCTGTTTGAAATCATTCGAATCATCATTAAACCCATCAAAATACAAGAAAAAACTATACCAGGATCCAAACTATCGTCTGTCCAAAAAGGCAGTGGACTTGAATATTTTTGGAATAACTGTTTATAGACAAAAGACAAAAACTTGCAGTTTTCAGCATATTGTAGTCAAGAGTCGATTGCATCTATCTATACATAAAACTAACAGAAAACCGACTGTTCAGGTACTATGCCTCGTTTGTCTTAGAAAGACTAGGTTACTATTCCTTTAACTTCCATAAAATCCTGTAGTTCTAAGATACTCCAAGGATGCACTGGCATCTATACTATACATCCATGGAAGCCTCAGACGACCTTCATCTCTCGGTGTTTAGGCAGGAGAAATATTTTCCTGAGAGATCTCCTATCAAATACTCATATGGTTGGAGAAATGTAAAAATACTTGGAAATATAGTTTATCGATCATGCTGCATTTCGTAGCAATGTCTATTTGAAGACTTAAACATATTTTATGAATAATTAATCAAACTCCCTATGTTCTGCCTTTTTGTATAATCTGAACATCGTTCGTAAATATTTTAGTTCGCTTCTGGACTATAGACAAGATGTGATTAATCAAAAATGAATGTCTGTTAGTCTTCAATATTTCCATCAGAATTACACTCAAGTTCATTATCATCATCAATAAGTTCTGAATCAAGATCTTCTGTTGAACCAGCAGCCAATTTAAATGTTTTTTCATATTTTTATGTATGTTTAATAATATCTGTTGCTGCTTTGGAATCACAAGGTGCTATCCATTGTAATGCTGAATCATTTACATCTGTTAATTTGAATGAAGTATTATTGTCACGAATATAAGTTTTGAGTCCTGTCCAAGCTAATACTATAGGATTTAAAATACAGTTCCTTACTAGTAATCTTAATATTTCCGCATTAAATTGTTTTGCAGCTTCATCTGCTTTAAATTTTTTCTCGGGAGCTTTAGCATAAGCAAATTCTAACAATTCAGATTTTGTATATGAATTTATATATAGAACTTTATGTTAATTAAGTCATTCTAAAATCTGATATTAGCGGCATGATTTTTGGATACTTTAGTATCTTCTATTTGTTCTTTATGCCAAGGAGCACTATCAATTACTATACAAATATTTGCTTTATTACCTAAAAATAAAAAACAGTTGTTGTACGGAAAAGAACTATGGATTCAGCTTTTTCATTACCTCATTCTGATTTTAATGTTTGTGCTGCTTCATTAATTCATTTTACAAAACGAAATGAGTCCATAGAGCGTTCTTTACCACATTTTAATATTTCTACTGATAGTAAGTGAAAACCGCTACCACTAATAATATTCTTAACGGTAAGACGAGTTCCTAAGAAAACTGCAGAATTCAATGGTATTTTCATTTTGACTATCTTTCCATATACGAATCCTAAGAGTGTGGGTGTGAGTGCGAGTGTGGGTGTGGGTGTGGGGTGTGGGTGTGGGTGTGGGGTGTGGGTGTGGGTGTGGGTGTGGGTGGGTGTGGGTGGGTGTGGGTGTGG